CATTACACTTTACATTTATATGCTTTTTTTTATCCTCTAAGTAAAAGCAGCAAAGCCAATTTGTATGGCGTAGCCTTAGAAATGAGGAAATTCTGTGAGAATCATAATGTTTCCCTCTGTACAGGATGGCATATAGTTATTATCCAAACTGGACACTGTTGAAAGGGAAAGAGGATGTTATCAGTAATTCCACTGGGGTAAACCAGGACTGTCCTGGGCAAACCCATTTGACCTTCAACCCATTTTACAATCATACTATGTGGAACACTTTCCCTACAAGATTTCTTTGATCCTAGGCATCAAATATGCAGGTAACAATGACACCTTCTCCTTTCTTTCACTGACTCAGTTTAGTCTCTGAATCTAGCTGAATAGCTAGAGATACACCTTTGGGCTATAATGCCTGGCCAAGGGCTTCTTTTTCCTCATTTGCTTCAAGGCCACATACTCTACATGGTTCTCACTGGGATCTATTCTTTGGCATTTTGTCTATGGCTTGCACAAAGGGATGCCTTAGAAACCTGTTGTTTGTTTTCCTCAATGGAATGCTGTAATCCCAAATGTTAAAATCTTGAAAAATCAAAATCCTTAAAGTCTAAAATCCCAAAAGATCAAAATCCTGAAAATACAATTCTGGAAAAAATAATTTAAAAATTACTTTAAAGATATTTATGTATTATTTTTTAAAGGGCATTTGAGAAACATACAAAAACAAATAGAACACTTTATAAGCCATTTTACACAAAAGAGGCAATAAAAAGATATACATTTGTACAAGCATAAACACTTAAATATACTAATGACAGTCACATGGGCGTAACAGTTAGAAGCAAACAAATGGTATTCACAAAGAAAGAGGTCAAAAAAAGGAAATGTATAAATGCATATCACTGTGGACGGCAATCGTGTGCATCCAGGAGTCTAACTGTGTACCTCTGAAATGCCATGACAAACAACCTAAGTCTTCTCACAGGATTGCTCAAAAACCATGATAGGTCACCACCACCACATATGCAGTCCCCAGAGCCAAAATCTTGAGAACTTTTATCCTTCACAAATGCAGATGTATAAAAAGGACATCTCTTCATTTGTTGAGGAACTTTCAGTGTTTTTACACACGTGAACAATGCTAAAACACGTAACGCCAAATTTGTGATAATGCACTTTGGTGGATTCAGATTTGCAAAAAACACATAAAATGAATTAGAACTCTAAATGGCTTTACACAATCTATACATTCAGAATTGGAAATGACGTGAAGATGAAATACATAGCATAGTGAATTGTAAAAACAATGCTGACAATTTAAAATCGTGAAAAAAACTGACGAGAGAAAGAAAAAAAAAAACAAAAAGAAAATTAGACCTATGAAAAAGTATATTATAGAGACAGATTATGAGTAATTGAATACAGACAGTCCATTAGAGCAGGCCGACTTTCACAATCATTACCTATAGCTTGAATTCTTACACCATGAAGACTGCTTTTTTTCTTTTAAGAGAAGGTTCTCCTTGGAGAATACATTCACGTTCATTTTCTATGTGATTCTGATCTTTTTAAATCAAATCTTCTATGATTTGATATACACTGACATGAGCATTCCTTATTAAATTTCCCCGGCTCATGCCAATAATCCCAGCACTTTGGGAAGCCAAGGAAGGCATATCACTTGAGGTCAGGAGTTCAAGACTAGCCTGGCCAACATGATGAAACTCCATCTCTACAAAAATACAAAAAAAATTAGCCAGGTGGGGTGGCATGTGCCTGTAGTCCCAGCTACCTGGGAGGCTGAGGCAGGAGAATCACCTGAACCCGGGAGGCTGACCCCGGGAGGCAGCAGTTGCAGTGAGCCGAAATCATGCCATTGCACTCCAGTCTGGGCAACAGAGCAAGATTCTGTCTCTAAATAAATAAATTTTCCCATCTTATGTGCCATATTTCTATGTTATTTTGGATAAAAGGAAATCCATTCCACGTGCACCCATATACAGAACATAAATTTGGTGGAAACAATACTGGTGATGGAAGAGCAGCACCATTTCATGTCATCTTATCCTATCATGTAGATAAATTATTTTCAAACAAGATAGTAACTTTTCTGGCTTCTGCAGGCAAATGCAGCTTTAATTTATTAAAAGCTCCTGGAATGTCATAAGTTGGCAGGAATGCCAATGCAGGCAAATAACGTATTTTTAAAGTGAGGTTTTCAGTTTTCATTGTTGCCAAATAATGTAGCCAACCACTCATCTGAATTTTCCGCCAAATGAATTGGGCTGAATGGAAAAAACAAACTTTATTGGTAACATCTTGAAATTCACTTCAGATGTCAGATCGCACCTAACTCTGTATCTGTCATTATGGTTTGAGGATTCAATTACAGTCCACTTTCTTTTGCAAAGTCCTCCAAATCTGCAAATAAGTGTTTATAAATGGCTTCACATTTTCCAGTCATTAATACATAAAGGAGGGAAGAAATTCTAGAATTTGTGGTCCAACAGGCGCATAAAGTCTATATAGTTAATAAAAAACAGTGGGGACAGTTTTGAAAGTGCTATCCATTAACCAATGTGAAGCACGTGCTGATTTTTCTGATAGACTTAGTGGTAAATATAAGAAGTCTGCCTTCTTTGACAGTCAAATCACTAATCAAGAATAGGTCACCATTTAATGTTTTTTGTGACACTAGCAGAACCTCAATACCAGCTAGTTTCTTTGGTTCAGGAGGTCCTTGGGCTTGCTGAATTCCTTTTTTTTTCTCTGATGAAGGGCATTTTTTGAAGTCAAATACGGCGTTATGTGCGAAGAGGCAGAAGTTGTACATGACAGAATAATCTGGCAGGGAAAACTTTTGTACTTTTTGCCTATATTTTCACTTCTATGATCTTCTAAACACTCACTACACTTGTATTCTGAAAGTGGTTATGGTCTACAAATTTTATAAGTATATGCTATCCATTTAGAAGTCTGGTTATTGCCAGCTGTTGCAATTAAGCAGTTTTCTGCTTTCAAAGCACCAATAATAATTAGCTTTACAATGTTTATCTTTCACCATTAAGTAGCTTCATATACTTAACTTATCACAGTCTTTTTCAGTGGCAACAATATCACAGATCTCTTCCACTGTGTTGTAAGAAACACAGTTAGAAGGATTAATATTTGGCCTCCCCAGTACCAAATCTGTATTAATCAGAGTATACAGAACCAATAGGATGTGTATATAGATATATGAGAGGGGATTTATTAAGGGGATTGGCTCATGTAATTATGGTGGCTGAGAAGTCCCACAATAGGCCATCTGCAAACTGGAGACCCTAGGATGCCAATGGCCCTAGGAGCTTTTCAGCCCAGGCTGAAAACCTCAGGACTCAGGGGGCTCCTGGTGTATGTCCCTGGAGTCCAAAGGCCAGCGAGCCTGGTGTTCGGATGTCTAAGGAAGCAGAAGACAAGTGAAACAGATACCGATTCACTTTCTTTATCTGTTCTCTTCCAGCCTCAAGCCAACTGGATGTGACCCACCAGCACTGAGGCAAATCTTCCCTATCTACTCCACTCAGATTCACACACTATTCTCCTCTGGAAGTACCCTCACAGACACATTCAAAATAATGCTTTTCTTGGTTTCTAGATATTCTTTAATCTAGTCAAGTTGACACCTATACCTCTGTCAACCTGGCATCCATATGCATCTCTTCAACCATACTTACTTTCAAATAAAGATAAGGAGAGTGTTGCCAATTACAACAACTAAGGTCCCAGTGTTCCCTCCTGAGTACTGATAGTCTGTGCTTCCACCACACTGGACAAAGTAAGATGGGCTGTTAGCAAAATGATGAGCCTTTATCTGATTATGCTTAAAGACTACTTGCTAGGCCTATTCCTATACTTCCCTGTTCTAAAGAAGGGTATAATTTCACTGAGGAAAAAAAACTGAACAGAAATTCCAAAGCATTACCAGTGGTGAGAGCAGTTTTTAGCTTTTGAGGTAGGTGACAGACTGCATTTTCCCCTCTAAAAGAGGTCTATTCAAATAAAAGTACTTCTGACAGTTTCTAAATCTCAAACACAGCACAGACCTTTGTTTCTACTTCAGAAAAAGGAAATAAAATATCAGTAGCTGTATTTTGTACTCATATCTTTTCATCTGGTTCTATTGCCCTTTTTAAAATAATGATACTTTAAATTCATTGAGAAATGTCTAAAGACAGCTAATATTAAAATCATTTTTGCATAGATTAATCTGACTGCAAATACATTTGCTTCCTATATTTTTTTATTTAAATATGTGTGATCATTTGACTCACAAGCGTTACCACAATAAATTTTAAGCTTCACGAGGGCATTGTCTGGAAACATGAAGAGAGAATCCAGTGATTTATTACATTCAGTATAAACCATTTGGCCCTTTTTATTCTTCTAGGCTTGTAATATATATTAGGTGAAAAAAAAGAGTTTTTTAAATGCTAGTTTAGAGGTCTCCAGGAAGTAAAATGTTTAATTATTAACCATTAGTGATATTAAAATATTTATATGCCTTTTTAGTTCTACTTAATTGAAATTGGTAGAAAGGAGAGTAATGGAGGCAGTACTTTACTTGGCACAAAACAGCATTATCAGTTTATCTGAAAAAGTAAGATTTTAGACATTTCCTTCTTCTGAGTCCCTAGATGGATATGTCTGAAAATCATTTGTGTTAATGCAATGTTTTTATCTTCAGCCACTACAAATGAAAGAAAGTCTATGTCTCAAAGTGGAATTAAAAAAAAAATCTATCACATAAGTTACGACCATAAAAGAAATCCTGCCATTCTTATATCCATCTTAAGTGCTTTGTAACACATTTTGGTTAGAGGTGGACAGTATTGCATTTCCATACCAATTTGTTTCTTGGTGGGTATTTTATTTTCACTTCACAGCTCAAAGCAAAATAGCAGGAAATGATTCCGATGAACAAGCAAATGAATGTTTTATAACATGGAAGAGACTTGAATTCGCGATTTTACCTGATCTGCCCACGAACCAGAGGTCTGTTCTTTGTCCTATTCATGTTTGAGTCAAATGGTACCTCAAAAAACTGTGAAAAGAATTAAAAAAGACAGAAAACATTAACTATAAAACAATTCTTTTCTTCTGCATTAGTACTGAAAATTTTTTCCATATTAAACTTCATTTTAATTTTGATAGTATAAATCAATACCCTCACACTTTTTGAAGAAAAATTCCAAAAAAAAAAAAAAATTTACACTAAGTGTCAGGAATATCTTCTTTTATCCACTTTGAAATGCCCCTTGGTATACTCAGAGGATTATCTCTAGGACCCCCTATGTGTGGATAACCCAATCTACATATAATCAACTCCCACAGTAGGCTCTCCAGAACCCACCTATGAGAAAAGTTGACCCCTCTTTATATTCAAGTTTCACATCCTGCAGTCTGTGTTTAGTTGAAACAAATCCCTGTATAAGTGGACCCATGCATTTCAAACCCGTGTCATTCAAGGGTCAACTGTATAGCTTTAGGTTTGAAGCATCACTGTTGTAAATGATTTCAGAACCTTTCACACAATCCAAAGCCTATGAATCAACCAAGAATCAACTGACCCTGGGGAGTGGGCTACTGAAGTCAAGAACCAGGGCTGATGTAATTAAGATCTCAGATGAATTTGAGGTTATACCGCAATGAAGGTAACCATCCTATTCCACCCATGGTAGTTTTAATTGACACCTCGGTATCATTAACAGCAACCTCTTTCATTCTGAAAGCATCCCAGCTTGGATAACCGATTGGTATGGTCACCCTAACAATGAAGTCTGGTTTTAATTGTTTACCTGTTAAAAGACAAGGCCCAAGGGATTACCAAAACTCATTTTCCAAAGCCTTGGCAAACTGTATAGTATGTTCTTAAATTTGTTATTTTTGTCTCTTACTTGTTTCCTTTTTTGGTAAAACACAGTACTCAAAAAAATGGGCTGATCAGGTTATTATTTAAGAATGTCTTTGACTAAATGGGCCAGAACCAAATCAATAGATGAAACAAAACTTCAGTGGAAGGCTGAAGTCAGTATTTCCCCAGCTATGTTCCCTTACGGTCCATGGAGTTGCTGCCAGGAAGAACAACTCTATGGTCAAATCTTATTAGTACGATAAAACCTCTGAGAAATCCCAAAGTGAAGAAACCCAATTAACTTACGTAGGCAGTGTTTCCCGAAGTTATTTGACCATGAAACCGTTTTTTCAAGAGAAACATAAATAACAGATTTCAGAAATTCCTGGTCTGACTAGATCTGAGTGATAGGGATCATTTCTTACTCATTTCTGTATGAACCATAGCTCTTCTACTTCCCTTACAGACGGCTCTGCTTTTGTCAGGCCAAGCACTAGATATTGGGGCAATAGCCTCACAGATTGCTTAACTCAAAGAAATGCATAAGATCTAACCCCAACATCAGCCTGATATGATTTGGCTCTGCGTCCCCACCCAAATCTCATCTTGAATTGCACTCTGATAATTTCCATGTATTGTGGGAGGGACCCGTTGGGAGATAATTGAATCACGGTAGCGGTTTCCCCAATACTATTCTCATAGTGGTGAATAGCTTCACGAGATCTGATGGTTTGATAAGGGGAAACCTGTTTAGCTTGGTTCTCATTCTCTCTCTCACCTGCTGCAATGTAAGATGTGCCTTTCACTTTCCACCATGATTGTGAAGCCTCCCCAGCCATGTGGAACTGTTGGTCCAATTAAACCTCTTTCTTTTGTAAATTGCCCAATCTCGAGTATGTCTTTATCAGCAACAGGGACACAGATGAATACACAGCTGTTATATCCTGCATAGTGGTTCTGACATTCTGATCAAACTTTGACTGATACTAACTTCTCTTACTTTCAACAGAGCCATTGCATAGAACTATTTAGTTTTTCAATATATTCATCTCATCTAACAATCTAAATGGCTGACTTCCTGAGATATGTGAATTCATAATTCTTAATATTAAGGGGAAATGGTATAGTACCATGCACACAGGCACTCAATAATTTATTTAATAAACCATCAGTGAAAATAAACACATGTATCTGCAGACTGCACTATATAATTTTTAAATGATGCATAATTTATGATAAGTATGGAAAAATTATTTGACTGTTAGAGTCTATATTCATTCTTTATTGAATTAATTGAAGTTATATGTAATTAAAAGGTTCTGCCTGAAACATTCACATTCCTTCCCTTCCCCAATATTCAAACACATTCTGGAAGTATTTGAAATTATCTTTCCTCATGACTTGATACATGTACTATTAATTGAATTTCAGGGGATAAAAGAGGATTCTAATCACAAATCAAGTGATTTAAATGCTTGTAAGGTGTTACCTAATTTAACAAACTTGCGGTTAAGTAACTGTCTTGGCGGTTCTCAAGTATATATGTGTGTGTTTGCGTGTGTGTGTTTAGTTCAGGAATTCTAATGTATCATTTCATCCGGGTGAAAAAAGATACTATCTTTTCTATGTTTCTGGCACGTCACACATGGAAGGATAGAAACAGAGCAATTGAACTCCAGGATGCCATAACTTGGCAGCAGCATCTGACTCCCATGAATGCTTAAATTTTGCAGGACAAGCAACATCTGGGCAGAAATACCATGCTAACCAGCCTCATCATTCATTTTAGTGAGGACTTGACAATTCTTCCTAGCACCAAAGGATCAGAACTCATGAGGCTACTTGCTTCTGTTCTTCATGCATTTTCTATAATGCTTTCAGTTAGGTTTACTGCTTTGGTTCAGATATTTAAACCACATTTCTTAAACACAAAGCATTGTATATTTCGATGAGCAATTTAAACGCTTCAACAACTATTTCAGAACCTATATACAGCTGGATTTAGTCTATTCACTTTTTTCCTGTGCTTTATAATAATTAGATTTTCATGTTATCATTTTCAGTTGGTTCCAACTACTTCTGAAGCAGTGAAGTAAAAACTCTGGCAACTTGTGCTGAAAACAAAATGCAGTAATATCAATGCTTAGAATATACTGTTTTGCCCTTTTTTTCACATGCCCTAACTACTTCAGAGAACACTGAAAGTAATATGTTGTAGTAAACAGAATTTGGACAGCTGTCCAGGCCAAACTAATTCTGTCGGGGACCAGTCTTGTACTGCACCTGCCTTCTAGTTGAAGGCTCTGTTCATGGTCTCAAATGCTAGAGAATCCAGTACCTTACCCTACTCCTGGACACAGTGATTACTGAGTGTGTTATCTGACTCGCATTGGGCCAAATGAAACGTCTTTCACTGGAACTTTACAAACCAAAGCCCCAGAAAACATGCCCTCCTTTCTCTTAGTTGCCTGTGGCCACAGAATGGGATACAAGGGAAGCAAGGGACTGAACATTGATTCCAATGGTCAGGTTATCTCCAAGGCCTCTGCCCTTTCCAGTTGAAGTCAAACCTATAAGGATTTGACTTCTTTAACCTCCAACATCCTAATACACAAAGACTGTAAACATTTCAAACGTTAATATTGCACAGAAAGGAATAGCACCTTTTCTTCAGAATACAACTTATTTTCTGTCTAGGTTAAATTTTCAAAAGAGGTTCCTTCTCAGTCTCTTTTCATCCTAAAAATCCACCATTCTTTTAGAACTCCTTTCATTGTACACTTTTTTTTTCTTTTTGAGACAAGGTTTTACTCTGTCTCCTGGCTAAAGTGCAGTGGCATAATCCCAGCTGCTGCAGCCTCTGCCTCCTGGACTCAAGGGAGCCTCCTACCTCAGCCTCCCAAGTAGCTGGGACCACAGGTGCGTGCCACCACATCCGGTTAATTTTTTATTTTTGGTAGAGAAGGGGTTTCACATATTGTCCAGGCTGGTCTCGAACTCCTGGCCTCAAGTGATCCACCCGCCTCCGTCTCCCAGAGGGCTGGGATTACAGCCATGAGTCAGTGCACCCAACTGTAAACTTTTCCTTTTCTTCTTCAGGTTCACTTCCTCATCATCTCCCTTCCTAATCAGGCATATACTCCTTCACATTTCTTGCCTTCTGGCAATCCTGTGATCTGTTATAGTACTCAAGCTCTTGGAGTTACAAGTGACAGAAACACAACTCAAACTAGCTCAAAGGAAAATGGAGCTTTATTATTGTTTACGACACGGTTGTACCTGCTTTCAGGAAGGACAAGATTCAGAATTTCAAATGATACCAACATGACACTGGTTCCTTCCATCTTTTAAATTGGCTTGGTTTATGCCTTCATGAAGGCTTTTTCCATGAAGGCTAAATGACAATGGCAGCCCCTGCCTTCCACACTCCTAACAACCCTAATAAGTAGTTTATTTCCACATAGCTCCAAGAGAAAAGTCTAGAACCATCATGGCCATGAATCATCATGGCCAAGAAATGAGGTGACTATCCTGTGGGCAGGGGAGGGTGTTGGTAGAGAGACACAAAGACATAGTATCACCACTAAAATCACATGTATTATTTCCTCTACAGCAAAGGAAAATTTTATTTAAAAAAGGTGAGAAGATGTTCAGTAGACAGATGCAGCTGAATTATTTATAATATACTGTAAATCTAACAACCTCAAATCATTTCATTTCACAAACACCATACCTACAAAATAACTTGACTATAGTAGAAAGGGTATTCCTAGTTTAAGTATCTGAAGGGCATTAATTGATATAAATATAGTATTTATATTAATCTTTATCTCATATTGGTTTTGGAATCAATTTAACAGTTCTATTTAATATAGTAGTAAATGGATCATTATTTTCTCCTCATAGTCACATGATAAAAATGTAAGGTGTGATTATACCAGTGGATTAATATCTGTTAGACACCTATTATAACATTTGTGCTTTCTTATTATACATCTTTTTATATCAGTGAACAATTATTAATTTTGATATCTATTAATATATTGTTATATATCATGTTACAGACTAATACATTTTATATTACATATATAACATGTTATATTTTAATATGTATCATTACCTAGTAATATATTCAATTAATTATATATTATACAAATAGTTAATGCTCAGATACAAAATACACTTATTAA